GAAACTAAGGCAAACAGGGTTAAGTGACTTGCCCAGAGTCACATTGCTACTAAGTGTCTAAAGTCAGATTTGAACTCACAAAGATGAGTCTTCCTGTCTCCAGACCCAGCCCTCTATCCACTGTGCCACTTAACTGTCCCAATTTAAAATGCTGATGTATTAACAAGCAAAAGAAATACATCAACTCATGTGATTTTCCAATTATGTGGCCCACAGGAATCCTTATGTAAGGTTTATTGGCCCCCGTTTCTATTTGAGTCCAACACCACTGGTATAGAGAAGAGTGTCTTGGATTTGGAGACAAAACACTTAGCTCAAATGTGGAATCTGTTGCTTCTTGTCTATGTCCATGACAACTTATTTCATCTCTCTGGGTCAGTTTTCTCACCTATAGAAGAAGGATGATAATAATAACATTGCCCTATCTACATCACCAAGGTGTTGCAAAGAAAATGCTTTGTAAACCTCAATATGCTGTAATAAACTTGAATTGCTATCATTGCAACTTTGTCTTCCCAGACAAAGGTTGATTTGAACAACACTTGGGCACATTTGTGACTGTAAAAATGGATCATCTGTTCCTACCAGCTTTATTTGGAAGTCTCCATTTCTATATCAACTAGGGAACCATCCCTAAAATATTCAGGTTTCTGTTGTCAGTGAATCACTATTTAGGATGAAAAAAATAACTAAATAATGTTTCTCAGAAAAAATTCTATCAGTTGATCATATGTCATTCAACCAAGTAGCAAATAGTAACAAAAAAAGATGATGATACTGGTTGTACTTAGCTTGAATGAGAAAATGTATGCAAACCTTATGTTTGTATATGGGATGTGAACCTCAAAGTACCATGTGGATGAAAATTATCATTATTATCACTAATAATAATAATCCAAAGTATAGTTTGCTTCTGCATTTTAATATTTGAGGTTTTTTTCCTTCACAACGCTACTCACCTACCCCCACCATGAAAATGCCCAAGGCTGGTACTGAATGGAATCTGAGAGGCAATGAGGTGTACTTGAAAGAGAAGGGGAATTGGTATCAGATGATTTTAGCTCAGTTTGGGCTCTTTCACTGTCTGTATATGGACAATCATAACAAATGGACAAATCACAATCTTTTTGAGCCTCAGTTTCTTTATCTGGATATAAGGGGGACAGAGACCTAGAGAGAATGGCAGAAAGGGACAGAAAAGTCTTCCAAGTATGCCCTGCTCTCTCCAGTGTTGCTAAAATGCTAACTTAAATCATTTTTGCATTTCTCTATCTCTAGATGTCTGGAAACCAGATGGTGTAGTGGACAGAGCATCAGGGCCTGGAGTCAGGAATACCTGAGTTCAAATCTGCCCTGAGACACTTACAAATGTGTGACCCTGGGCAAGCCACTTAACTCTTTATTTGCCTCATTTTTTTCATGTGAACTGAAGAAAGAAATGGCAAACCAATCCAATATCTTTGCCAAGAAAACCCCAAATGGGGTCACAAAGAGTCAGACATGACTGAAACGCTGAACAACAACAATATCTAGGTGTCATGAATATAATATGAGGTGAAATTAATTTGCTTACCCCAAGCTAAGTATCAGGGGAACTTTGGAAGCATATATTATAGAGGGGGAAAGGCATTGGTAGCATCTTGAAGGATCTTTCTGTGTTGTCAACCATTACTAAGTTTGTTCTTAGAAAGACAAACACAATTAGGCTGCACGTGAGTGTTTATTTCTATCAAAGTTTGTGGAACATACATATGGAGATATACACAGGAGCTCATTATGCAAATGAGCCCAAGAATGGACAGACAGAGCAAACCTTATATCTTCAGAGCAATTCCCTCTCACCCCTCCCTCCCTTCCTGGTTCAGGATGCTTATGTCAGTCAAAATTATAGTCTCCAAATGTGTTAACCATGATATGAGAAAGGAATTTCTTAAGTGGATAGTTATAAATACAATAAGATAGGAGAATGTCAAAATGTAAATTGAAACTATAGAACCAGGATATCTGTGTTTCTTCTCCCATTAACATGACATAACATAGCATATGTCCATAAAATACCAAGATAAGAAAAGTCCCACTATTCAAGACAGTGTCCAGTCCAGGTGCCTTGTCCTTAGTAGTCATAAACAAAAGAATGCACCTATTCAGCTTCATCTGGCCTTGTAGTTGTTGACACAAGAAATGAGAATTTTGAGTTCAGTCAGAGAGCAAAGCAAAGCATGTTTGTTATGCCAAAACATGCAAAGCATTATGGTAGATTAAGATCAGAGTGGGCCAAAATGTTTCTCCTGATTGGCCAATCCAGGTCTTAAGCCTTTCTCAGATCTTGGGGGTTCAAAATGGTCTACAGTGTACTAATCAGTCATGGCTGTGGACCTGACTAATAAAAGATGATGTGTTGATCAGGCATATTGGCAAGATAGTCTCACAAAAGAGCAATAACATTCCCTTTGAGGAAGAGGCCACAGAAGCAGCAAATAACTCCAACAAAAAGCAACATCTCAGGGGAAAGGAAGAAGCTCCAGCTATAATTACAACTCCAGCAGATGACATGAGAAACTCAACGAAAAAGAGAATGACAGTTTTGGAAGCAGAGAAGGACAACAGCTATAAAAGTAGAGAGAAAGAGAGAGATGGAGATTCACACACATGAATTATCTGGGAAGTAGTCTCTCTCTCTCATTGGTGGTGCAGAAATTGGTGGGAGATTGTACCCTTTTGTGCATGAGGCAATTTTCCTTTTTTTGTTTTGTTTTGTTATTTTGTCCTTGTTAAAAGCTTTGCTGTTTGATTTATGGTTCCTGATCTGGAAAGACAGACTTCTGACCAAGAAGACTGCCTGAACAGAGGCAGACCACACCACTTTCACACACCTACTCTAGCAAATAAATAAATAACCCCAATACCAGAACAAATAATGATTACAATGTCTTCCATTCAAGTTCCATTCAAGAACTCCAGAAGCGCATGGGCAACAGGAAAGAAAGGCACCAGAAAAATCAATGGTAGCACAGGCAAACAAGATAATTTACCCCCAATTTATCCTGGATATGTGTGTATGTATGTATACACACACACACATATGTTTTATATATATATATATATATATATATATATATATATATATATATATACACATTTTGTGTGTATATATGTATATATATATATATATATACACATTTTGTGTGTATATATGTATGTGTATATATATGTACATGCACAAATAGACATATATATATTTTGTTTGTACAGTTATTCTTATGTTTTCTCTCCCATTAGACTATGAACTCCTTGATAGCAAGAACTGATTATCAGCTTCTCTTCATCTCTAGCACATAGCACAGTATCTGACACATAGTAGGCATGTAATAAATGCTAGTTGAGTGACTGACTGATTAAACACATCTACAGAACTTCTTTGAATGTCCATTTTTCTCCCTGAAGGATTATACTCAATTTTTCTGGGTAGGTGATTCTTGGTTGTAGGTCCTTTGCCCTCTGCAAATATTATATTCCAAGCTCTCTGATTCTTTAATGTAGAAGTTGATAAATCTTGTGTTATCCAAACTGTGGCACTACAATTCTTGAACTGTTTCTTTCTGGCTGCTTGCAATATTTTCTCCTTGATCTAGAAGCTCGGGAATTTGGCTATAATATTCCTGGGAGTTTTCATTTTAGGATCTCTTTAAGGAGGTGACTGGTGAATTCTTTCAATTTCTATTTTACCTTCTGGTTCCAGAATATCAGGGCAGTTTTCCTTGATAATTTCTTGAAAGATAATGTCTAGGCTCTTTTTTTTTTATCATGACTTTCAGGTAGTCCAATAATTTTTAAATTCTCTCTTGGATCTATTTTCCAAGTCAGTTGTTTTTCCAATAAGATATCGTACATTGTCTTCTATTTTTTCATTCTTTTGGTTTTGCTTTATTATGTTTTTTTCTGTTTCTCATAAAGTCATTAGCTTCCATTTGCTCAGTTCTAATTTTTAAGGAATTATTTTCTTCAAAGAGCTTTTGTATTTACTTTTCCATTTGACCAATTCTACTTTTTTGGTTTTTTTCTTACATGAATTTTTGTGCCTCTTTTTTCATTTGGCCAATTCTGCTTTTTAAGGAGTTCTCTTCATTGAACTTTTGTATACCTTTTTCCATTTGACCAATTCTGCTTTTTAAGGCATTCTTCTCCTCATTGGATTTTTGTACTTCTCTTACCATTTGGCCTACTCTGTTTTTTATGGTGTTATTTTCTTCAATATTTTTTGTGCCTCATTTATCAAACCATTGATTCATTTTGCATTATTTTCTTGCATAACTCTCATTTCTCTTCCCAATTTTTCCTCTACCTCTCTTACTGGACTTTCAAAATCCTTTGTGAGCTCTTCCATGGTCTGAGACTGATTCATATTTTTCTTGGAGGCTTTGGATGTAGGAGCTTTAACTTTGTTATCTTCTTCTGAGTGTGTGTTTTGATCTTCCTTGTCATCACAGCCATTTTTTATGGTCAGAATTTTTTTCTGTTGTTTGTTTATTTTTCCAGCCTATTTCTTGACTTATAAACTCTTTGCTAAAGTGGGGCTCTGCTTCCAGAGTGGAGGGTATACTGTCCCAAGTTTCAGGGGGTTTGTGCAGTTGTTTTCAGAAACACTTCTAGGGACCTGTAAGTTTTCAGTTCTTCCAAGGTGATGTGACCTGAAGTGAGTTGTGTTTACTACTCTCCTGGCCTGTGCTCTGGTCAATGAAAGACCACAAGTACTCTTTTCTGTCTTGGAATTGTAAAGAGGGTCTCTGCTCCACTGAGACCACAAGCTCTGATATACTAGTGCTCCTCCTCACTCTGGGACTGCTACCCAGGACTTTGATCCAGATCTGAGTATGGGCAAAGTGTCAACTCTGAAAACAAATGACCAAAGAGTCACAGAGGTTTTGCAACCACTGTTAATTCTAAAAATACCAAAGAGCTCACACAGGTTATGAGCAAAAAGCTTTCTTTATTCTGTTGGAGAAGGAAAACTAGACACATGTTTCAGGATCTCCTCTAGGAGGAGACCCAAGGCAGTAAGGCTAAACTTGATATACACATATACATAAATACATACATACATACATGCATATGTATATGTATATTTGTGGCTAGACAAAGAATCAAACAGTGTAGTGTAGCAACAGTGGTGAGGCACAAAAGCAACAGTGAGGCAAGGTTGCCTAGTGACAAAAATCCATTCACAGCAGGGCTTCATGTCTGGGTCTGTTGGTGCTTGCCCAAGCTCAGGGACCATTCAGATCTATGATTTTGTTGCAGTAGAGTTCATCCAGAGGGTGGGCACAAACAATTGTTGTTATGCCAAAGCTTGCTTGCTGCACCTTAGTTCTGGAAAATAGGGTGTCTCCTAATAGTAAAAAGAGAGGAGTGGTCTTGAGATGAGGATCCTGACAAAAATAACAGAGTCCTGCCTCAGAGTTAACAAAGAGACCCCTGTAATCTCCTTCTGACCAGCTGTTTGACCCCTTTACTATCTGTGGGCTGACAGCTCCAGAAGCAGCCACTGCCCCTGCTGATTCAGTAGTTCCCAAAGCCTGCTCCTGGTTTGCTGGGGCCCATGCTGTGCTGCCATGGCCTGTACTGGACTGCGCTCCACTCTCACCTCTGTGCGACAGACCTTTCCTGCTGACCTTCTAAATTGTCTTGGGCTGGAAAATTATTTCACCTTGTCCTTTTGTGGGCTCTGCTTTTTTCGGAATTTGTTTTAGATAATCACTTAAAGGTGTTTGGAGGGGTTTGGGGAGAGCTTAGCCACATCCCTGCTTTTTCTCTGCCATCTTGGCTCTGCCTCCTAGAGAATTTCTGATGAAGCATGTTATTGACTTCCTGACAGAGAAGTGATGGCCTCAATATACAGAAGAAGATATACATTTTTATATGCATAGATTTGTTTTATTTGATAACATGTATATGTTACAAAGGTTTCCCCCCCCTTTTAAATTGTGGGGATGGGGGAGTAAAAGGGTACCAATGATGATGCCAAAAAAGAAAAAAAGAAAGGAAAAGAAAAAGATGAAGGCCATCAATTTTTTCTAAAAGTACACAGAAGAGTACAGAAAGAAGTTTAGAAGGAATTGCTGATAATGGGACAGTTCTGAATAGGCCAAATTATTATGTAGTCAATTCTGCCATAATATGTTTCAAAAATGAGAATTTCTTCCAATGTGATTAATATATTATAGAACATTGTGAGTATAATGTGAATTTCAAGTTTGCTTCTGCTAGATTTCTTCCATGAAAGAAGTAGGAATGCAGAAAAATTACACCACTTCATAATAACTCACACCCTGCAACCCTCCCAGCACCCACTTCCTCAAGCAAACTTCAGGTCTTTGTCAAGGAAAAGTGCCATGTTTCTTGTATATCTTCTGGTGCAGTAGGAGCTGTGAGCAGAGAAGGGCTGACCCTGAGTCCCTTCCCCCATAGCCTCCAAGTCTTTGAGTTGTGGGCCTCTCCAACTTGCTCACGCAGCCCTGCCCACAGGACTAGCACCAGTCCACCAATGTGGTCTCCATTTACTGTACTTAGGTATTTCTTAACTATGTAATATGTATAAAACGATGCTACCATTCTTATTAGGCTCCTGTCTTTTTTTAAGTATGTCACTGATGGCGTTTTTGAGTGTTGTTCCTATAACCTCAATTCCCCCATAAGCTCTGTGGCTTTTATTGTGTGATTTTGCATAACACAGTGTTTTTGGGGAATGCACCTGTCATGTTACATATAGCACGTGTGTCTGTACTGTTGCAGCCCGTATAAGCCCTGAGCATCCTTATCCCTTCTCCAACTCTCACAGATGAGTCTCAGGTCCCAGAACATGACAACATCTGCTCCTCAAGATTCCAGATAGCCCTCATGGGTTGGGGGGAGGGTGACTCACTAATGCCATAAGATCAAGCCACTACCACTGTTGTATTCTCCTCAATATTATCGATTCAGAATCATCTTCATTAGTAACCTTTAAGTCACTTTTAGAAAGGATTATTTACTTTTTTTTAATTTTATTTTTATTTTCAATTCTAAATTCTCTCCCTTCATTTATCCCTTCTCCCACCCATTGAGAAGACAGTAAATACGATACACATTATACATATGAAGTCATGCAAAACATATTTCCACATTAGCCGTGTTCCTGTGAGGAAAAAAAGCAAGAAAAATAAAAAAAGAGGAATTTTTTCCCCCAATCTGCATTCTGAGTCCATTTGTTTTCTATCTGGAGGTAAGTAGCATTTTACATCATGAGTCCTTTGAAGTTGTGGTAGATCATTGTGCTGATCACAGTTACTAAGTCTTTTACAGTTGATTATCTTTATAATATTTTTGCTATTATGTAGATTGTTCTTGCTATGTTCACTTCACTGTGCATTAGTTCATATAAATCTTCCCAGATTTTTCTGAAACCATCCCCTTTATCATTTCTTACAGCACAAAAGTATTACATCATATTTGCATACCATAAGTTGTTCAGCCATTCCCCAACTGATGAATATACCTTCCATTTCCAATTCTTTGACACCACAAAAAGAGCTGCTGTAAGTATTTTTGCACACATAGGTCCTTTTTCTTAGAAAGGAATATTTACAAGAATGATAGTAAGAACAGTTGTCACAAAGACATTCTCCTAAAAGTCTGTGACACATTCTCCCACAAATCAATAGACTCTGGGGAAAGTGGATCCAATCTTAGAAGCACATTTGGCAAAGAGGTAACTCATAGGTTCTGGTTGCTGGAAGTCAACCCATTGGCAGAATTCTCAAGAAGTTACCTTAACAACATGCAGTTTCTTTGGGGACATCCTTGTAGAACCAGGACTCTATGTCTAGTCTATCATCGGTTTCCAATACAAACATTGTCATCAACTAGTCTGGGGATAACATCGTTGGGAAGGTAGGAAGCCCAAAATCCTCCAGACTCTTCATGGCTCACAATGTCCTCCTCTCTCCAAAGTGAGAAATATGGAAGAGAGTTGAGACCTGGTCAACACCAAAGTCAAAGACTTTCTTCCTTTCTCCAGAAGCTCCACTCCTGTGGTTCGTCCTCAGAGGCTTTACCAGAAAGCCACACTAGCTCCAATCTCTCCAATGACCCTGATTGTAAAATAGGTTGATACTTTATAGCTGAACCCTGGGTCATGACCAAGTTTCCTCAGCCTATCCTTCTTCCTGTGAAACATTATATTCTAGTTCCCAAATACTTTTAGCACTTGGTGTAAAGCCCATGATACAAATTGATTGATTGGGCATTTTAACAATTACTTTAAGTTGGATGGGATAGTTTGATTGAACAAATAAATCAATTCCACTCTTATACTTTTTTTTTAAACAAACAGCATGGAATAGATATTTAAGGTTTTATACATAATCCTCTTTTGTGCTCAACTTTGTATATGGAAAAGTTCATCTTTTGGGTGTTTGTTAAATTCATAATAAAAAAAATTTTTTTTTAATTTAAAAAAGAGAATACCCTAGAAAGGAGGACCTTGAGTTATATTTGCATGACCATAATTAGCAAAAATATCTCACAGTAAACCTTACTTAGAAATTCCAGAATTAAATAGAAATTGTGCTACATACTGTGTACATAAAAGATCCACTCTGGTGTCTGTCAAGGCCTTTTTTTTTTTAAGCAATAGTCACCTCCTTTAAGAGGAAATTTCCCAGGCCCCTTGCTAGTTAGGGTGAAATGAATAAATTCCTTTCAACTCATAGCTTACCCAGGGTAGCTAGCTTCAAGGCTATGCGAATTACCTTCAGCTTTGATAAACCTTTATGAGGCATTTATCAACCCTGGAGGAGGCTGGTTGTGGCTGGCCCCCCTCTGCCCTAAATTCTTGCACTGTGCCCAGGTCCCTGTCTTTCTTGTGTACAAAATGATTGGGTTGGATTAAATGATTTCCATAGTCCCCTCCTATGATTCTACTGTCCTAGGAATCTCCCAGACTTTCCAATCTCTTTATTATTAAGCTGACATGAGGAGAAGACTAAAGAGGACAGAGAGAAAACCAGGGCAAATGCCTCTCTTTGTAGTCAACAAATCACCCCAAAAGAATTCATTGTGAACACTTACCATGTTCAGTAGAAAGTACCGAAGGTGAATACAAAGATGAATAATACATAGTCTCTGCCCTCAAAGGGGAAAACATTTGAGAGGAAAAGACACAAATATAAAAAAGACAACTGTCAACGAGGCAGTACATACTAAATGCCAAATGAGTAACATCACAAATGCTATAGGAATTCAGAGTCACTTTTATAATAAGTTTTGGAAATAAACTATGCCACGATACCAAGAGAAAGGAGGAAGGGAAGCTACAGAACCACAGGGACAGCTAGATGATGCAGTGGATAAAGACCTAGGCCTGGAGTCAGGAAGACTCATCTTCCTGAGTTCAAATCTGGTCTCAAACACTTACAAGCTGTGTGACCCTGGGCAAGTCACTTAACCACTATTTGCCTCATCTGTAAAATGAGCTGGAGAAGGAAATGGCAAATCCCTCCAGTATCTTTGCCAAGAAAATCCCAAGTGGGTCACAAAGAGTTGGACATGATTGAAAACTGGGAGAGAACCACAGAAGGCTAAAGCTTGAAAAAAGTCATATCATTCAACCTCCTCATTTTGCAGAAGAGGAAACTAAGTCCCAGAAAGGTTAACTGCCTCATGCAAAGTCACACAGCTAATTAGCAGGCAAATCCAGGTCTCTAGAACCCAAGTCTCCTCAGTCCTAACCCAGTATGATTTTGTAGCACACAAATCAGGAAGAGCTAAAGTAATCATATACACAACACATAATATCACCAATCCAACAAGAGACAATATGGTGTGGCAGATAGCATGCTAGACTCGAAATCAGGAAAACCTGGATTCACATTGTGCCTCTCCCACTTACCAGCTGTGTGACATAGACAAGTCCCTTAACACCTATAAGCCTGAGTTTCCCCATCTATAAAATGAGGATAGATAATATTACTAGTACCCCCATAGGGCTACTACGAAGCTAAAATGAGATGATGTAGGCAAATGAGTAATTATTATATGAGCATGCATAATTAATATAAATCTAAGTCATAGCAGACAATGGATATCCTCTTTCTTGGACCCTCCCCCAACTCCCTAAATGGAACCTAGCATGCAATTAGTTTTTTGAGCCCCAACACTTATTCCATCAGGACATTTCACCAGGCCATGTTTCATCAAACCATGTTCACACTATGAGGCTAGTCACTCTAGGGAGATTCATTGTTGTGTTTGTCCTTTGTTCTCAAAGAGGACCATGGCATCAGGAAGGTGCTGCCATGAATTGCAAATGAATTGGATTTAAGTAGGGGTGCTGTGCAAAGTCACCAGCCT